TGAGGGTTGGGGGGGGCGAGTGGGGGGTGGTTGCTGCATTGGGCGAAGGCCTGAGTCTTGCTGTGCTGGGGCTGGCGCGCCGTCACTGCTGCTCCAAGCCATTCTCTGATGGGGAGCTCTCCCCCCCCCACGCTGTTTCCCTACCCACCCAGTGACCATGTCGCAGCCCAAGAGGACTGGGCAGGGGCGCCGTGCAAAGCCGCCCGTGCCCCCTATGGAGAGTGGCTGAGCATTGCCAGTTGCTCCCTGTCCCTGCGAGCCTCTCCCACCCTATCACTATCCGCCTGCTGGCTTCCAGCCCAGCCTCAGCCGGCATGGGGCCAGGTGAGGGCCGACGGGCAGGGCAGGGATCCGTCTGCGCTAGCTGGCCCAGCCTGGCCTGTTGGAAGTGAGCCTAGCGGGGAGCTGGGCATGGGAGTGAGCATGTGGGTCTGACCTGAGCCCGGCCGGCCCTGATCTGTAGGGCCCGCTCCCATGCCTGTGCCTGCAGAGGGCACTGTGGGCTGGTTGCCCCTCTCCTTCACTACACTCCTCTCCCTCTGTCCTGCAGAGCAAAGCTGTTCCTGCCAGGACCGCCAGATGGCTGCTGCTGCCCGCCTGCTGAACGTCATACAAGACCTGGAGCGTGCCCACAGTGCCTTCGAGCGCCGGGAGAAGGAGGAGGCAGACAATGACTCTCACCACCCCTGAGAAGCCTCCTCCCCCTTCCCCACCCCATCCCTCCCTGGCACCTCTGTTGGACCGTGCCCACCCGATGATGGCGCAAGGGAGTGGGCCCTGGTGCTGGGAGACACTGGCTCACTTGTCACCGCGCTCTGGGCTGGGAGTGGCGATGGCAGTGGCCACGTGGCCAACCCACAGCTCAGGCCAGAGGTGATGGGCCACAGCAAGAGAAGGCACCAACAAGAGGTGGCCTAGCGCGTCCTGCTCTCCTGCCTCCTGGCGGCCTGCTGTAGCGCCCAAATCAACCATCAGATGGCGCTTGAAACCCTCCATGAACCACACCGTGAACAGCACCAGCCAACCTCCTTGCTGTCCTTTTCCCTGTGGGACAGAGCCAGGATCCGCAGCCTCTAATGCCAGTGCCTGGGCAGGTTAGCTGTGCCCATGCCCCAGTGCCATCCTCCTGCAGGCTGTACCTGACCTTGCCACGCAGGGCCTTCCTGCTGAACCTCAGTCCATGTGCGCGGCCAGCCAGTGCCTGGTGTCCCAGAGGCGCATGCGGGTGGCAAACAGCCTGCCCCTGGCTCCCGAAGACAGCTCACCCCCCCCCACCCCCGTCGGTGCCTTTCCCACCCCACATTCCAGCCTTCGTGGCCACTGGGCGAGGGGAGGCGCTTCTGTGTCTGTAACTGATGGTGAGCCCCTAGCCATGATCCTCTGAACAAGAGCCGGGCTCTTGGGTGGAATAGCGTGTGAGCCAGACCGCGGCCCCACAGCACTCCTGGCTGTGCAGCAGAAAGCTGTCCGACCTGCAGGCCAACCTCCGCCAGCCCGTCTCTCTCCCCCAATTCCACCTGCGCTGGCCCATGGGCCAGCCACCATGAACTTGGCTCTCCCCAGCACCTCCTGGGGGGTGGGAAATCTAAGCTCTGCCATTGGAGGGTTAAACTCCTCCATCTCCCCAGGCGACGATGGCTTGTGCCTAGAGCGCAGTGGGTGGGGAGCCCACCTGGGCTGTGCTTGGAGGAGGAACCCAGGGCCCTGCATCTGCTGGGTGCTCCTTTAACTCACTGCCCTGACACTCCATCCACGTGTGCACTGCGTGGCTATCCACACAGCCCCACTGGGCGCCCCCAGCCTGCCCTGTGTGCACAGGACTGAGCCTAAAACCCAGCTGGACCCCTCTTTGCTTGTGCCAAAGTCCTGCTCGGGAAGCGAGAGGGGACTACTCCAGGGACGTCTCGCCCAGATCACCTGTGCATGGTGGAGAAGCCTACATCACTCGGAGTAACTCTGGTAATAGGCCAGAACAGGGCAAAGAAACCAACTTGAAGCAGGCTGGACAAACAGACAGATCCTGGAGCAACGTGAGGTGTGATGGGGCCAGAGGGGGGTGAGTGCGGCTGAATGTGAGCGCCCGAACCAGCCCAAAGCCCTGATGAATGTGAGACGGACAGTGCCAGCAGAGAGCTTCCCCCTCCCCTGTCCAGGGCAAAGCTCTGACCAAGGGGGCAACTGGTCCGCTCAGCTCGCTGCACCCCGTGGATAGCAAATGGCCACCCCCACCTGCATGTGCCATTGGGAACAGAACCAGCGTGCCCCGGCTGGTGCCAAACGCCAGGCTGGGGTTGTCAAGGCAGGAGGCAGACATCTTGCAGACTGGCTCACTGGCTATCCGGGGCAGGGGGGCTTTGGAGTTAACCTAGATCAGTGGTTCTCATTTGTGGACCCCTTTGGAAATCAGTTGTCTGTATATATAGCTGAATGCTGTTAGTTTTCAGTCACAGTCTTTCGCGGACCCTTAGACATCGTCCACGGACGCCCAGGGTCCACGGACCACTGCCCTAGATATATTTGCACACTCCTCTCTGTCTATTGTGCATCTCTCTGTATATGTCACACACACAAACGATGTTAAAAGAACTGTAATAAAGTTGCCAAGTGAAGCACTCAAACATTAAGAAGCGCCGGAAGCAGGGAGGCCCAGGCACCCTGAATTCAGCCCCCCGGTGTGTATGTATTATGGGCCAGTCTGCCATTCCAGGACCCTGTGCAAAGGAAGGGCCATGCTCACTGAAGGAGCAGTGAGCCAGTGCTCAGTGTGTGGTCCCAGCCATTATTCAAACCCTCTGGAGACAGACTAGTTTCTTCATGGGCGTTTTCTCGGCACTCATGGCTATAGGATCAGTGCTTCACAAGCATTAATTCATTTCTCTTCAGCTAAGTGGGTACTGTGCTTCCTGTTTTACAGAAGGCAAACTGACGCGCAAAGATTAAAGTCAAAGGTGTCCACTAATTTTAGGTGCCCAATATAGGCGCCATATTCCCCCCTGCCCGGCGGGTGCCCCACCCCCCTGCCCCTGCCCTGCCTCTTCTCCACCTCCTCCCCTGAGTGCGCCGCGTCCCTGCTCCTCCCCTTCCTCCCAGAAAGTCCTAAGCGCCGCCAGACAGCTGTTAGGTGGCGGGGAGGGGGGAAGGCCTGGGAGGGAGTGGGAGGAGCGGGGCTGCAGTGCGCTCGGGGGGGGGGAAGGAGATGAAGAGGGGGGAGCTTTGCTGCCGGTGGGTGCAGAGCACCCACTAATTTTTCCCCGTGGGTGCTGCAGCCCTGGAGCACCCACGGAGTCGGCGCCTATGGTGCCCAATATGTGAGGCCTAGGACCTCCTTTTTCAGAGTACTCGCTGGTATATCACACCTGATATGTTCAAAGCCCAGCGCCCACTGACTGCAATTGCAGCTGTGAGTGCTCAGCACTGCTGCAAAGCCAACCCAGGGTCCATCCTATGCGCTGAATAAGGCAGGCGTGTTAGCGAAGATTGTACATAATGCGTACACACAGGGCCAAATTAGGGTTCCACTGGCATCCTTAATTCTGGCATTTCTTAACTTTTGAGCACTCGACGTTGGAACCTCAATGTTGTTGTAACGTAGGTTTTTGTGTGTAATTTCCTAACTTTTTAATAAAGCAAACTTCAAAAACAGATGGTCCACCATGTGACATCATACTGACATCCCCATGGCCCCGCAAGGTTGGAACCTTTAGATCCAACCCAGAGGCCTCTGCTACTGGAGTAAGTGTTAGCAGTAGTAGGTTGTTAGCCTCTGTAGACCAGCACTACGGGGGGGGGGGGGGGGGGGGCAGGGATACTTTGCTAGTGGCTTTCACAGCTATTTGCTGAGAGAAGAAGGATGAGATGCAGGAATCAGGTCCCATTCCAGGCACTGAGAAGGGGTGTTGTGGTGGACACAGACTTTTCTGCCCCCTTTTCCCAAGTGTGCCCATTTCTGTCCTGTCCCCTCCAACCTGTCCCTGTCTTGGTTCTGTCTCTTCCCTACCCCTGACTTCTTGTCCCATTGGCCATGCCTAGCCAGTCCTAGTCTCCATTCCTCAGGCTTCTCGTACCAGTCCCAGTTTCCTTGCCCAGCAAGTAACAGTCTCACCCCTCTGGACTCACTGGCCCAGTCACCTCCCACTCCCATTTCCAGGCCCCGTGTCCAGCCAGTCCTAGTTCCCCACCTCCCAGCTTCTGGTCCAATCTGTGCCTGCCCCCCCCCCATTTCCCATCGCCACTGTCAATCCCAATCTCCCTCCCTGGGATACTGGTGTGTCCTCAGAGTCCCCTCGTCTCTGCCCAGCCATTCCCAGGCTCCCACCCCTGGCTCCTCATGCATTCGCAGTCTCTCCCCCATCTACTGCCTCCCAGTCCCAGCCCCAGCTCTCCCACTCTGCCAGCCTCCAATCCCAGTTTTGCCCCATCCCCCAAGCTCCTGTCCCAAATCTACTCCCTGCTACCCCCTCCCCGGCCCAGCCCTTGGCCCCTCTGCATTCAAGTTAGGCGGCTTCCTCCTCCATGTTGCCTGGGCACTGAGAGCCCAGAACAGAGGGTCTCCCTACTCCCAGTTCAGATGCTGAGCGCTGGACCTGGCATGGCCTACAGCAGCCCAGAGCTGCAATTGCCAGGCAAGGGCTGCTCTGTGCCCGGTAACGATGGAGCCTTGGGGGAGTTTAGCTGGTAAGAATCCTCTACTGAACAGGTGCAAAGTGCAGTTTCTCGAAGGCTTTGGCCAGTCTGGGGTGGGTATCCCGGGGGCTGGCGAAAGGCACGTCCCTGACAGCCAGGGCAGCCCCCTGCCAAACGTCAAGTCTCTGCCCCAAAGCACGGGGTGCGAGAGCTTCCCAAAGAACCTGCTGATGGGATTCTTGAACACAGGCAGAACAATGTATTCGTCCCTCGCTTGCTTCTCAGCACGGCGCAGCTGGCTTGGCTGAGCGTGCCCAGATATTCAGCCTGAGCCAGTGTGGACAACGTTAGCCCGCACAGGTAACAGCTGGCAACGTTGTAAGTAACCGAAAACTGGGCTTTGTGCTGGGCAGCCTTGGGCCTAGCCAGCACCACCAAGACTGGGTTGGGTGTGGGCTAGGCTCAGCCGGGGCATGGAGAAGCCCAGGTTTTTGCCTGGTGGGGTTTGAGCACGTTTTGACCAGGCGATCTGCTGGGTTCCCCGAGGGTCACCACGCTTGGTGCTGAGCCGCATTCTCCTTGACTGCTCAAAGCAGGCGGCCCTGTCAGGCCTGGTCTACACTACGACTTTAATTCGGATTTAGCTGCGTTAATCCGAATTAATCCTTAACCCGTCCACACAACGGAGCCAGTTACTTCGAATTAAAGGGCACTTAAAATCGATTTCTGTACTCCACCCCGACGAGCGGAGTAGCACCAAAATCGATTTTGTTAATTCGAATTAGGGGTAGTGTGGCCGCACACCACCGAATTAATGTGGTTAAAATTAATGGGGTAGTGTGGCCGCACACCACCGAATTAATGTGGTTAAAAACCGAATTAATGTGCTTAGTGTGGCCGCGCACAATCGAATTTATACAATCTGTTTCCCAAATTCGAATTATCTAAATTCGGATTAATCCTGTAGTGTAGACATACCCACAGTGTGAACCTATGGCCAGAGGGAGGGCACGTGCTACCCCCAGCTGGTGCAAAGGGAGCTTCATTTGCATGAGCTGCCTCCCCAC